ATATATATATATATATCTTTAAACTTTATTATATTTAAAAAAATTAAATAATTTTTTTGTATCTTAATTTAGTAAATAAATCAGTTCAGTTGTATATAAATCTACATACAACTGACTTGAAAGAAAACGAAAATCTTTTATATAACCCGCAATATATTGTAAAATATAATAAGATTCGTGACGTAGTGACTACTATACCTAATCTAGAAATAGTCGATGTAATAATTACAAAACCAATTAAAAATATCATAATGGTAATTATACTATATATTACAATAAATATGTATAAAAAAATAAATAAACTTGTGTATTATTAGTCTTAATTTTTATTTTATTTTAAAATTGACATAGAAAAGATTACTTTCAATATCCGCAAATCAGAAAGCTGATGTTATTTTTATTACTGGTGATATTGGTGACTCTACTGACAGAGATTGTATAAACGAAGCGGTTAAAGCTGTAGTTATTAATTCCAAAGAACTTTCCAATAAACTAGCAACTTCAATAATGAGCATAGAAGAAGATCTGGAAAGAATAACGAGTTATAGGTAAACTTTTATTTTTATTCATGTTCTAATCGTAAAAATTTACACACAACTACTTACAATTGATTTATTCTCAGAACTGTATGTGGAATACGAAATGAGACGTTAGTTATTAATTTGTCCGGCACACATGACAATATTTGCATTGCAACAATTGCAGATACACTGATAAATACGTTGAATTTAATACGCAAGAAAGATGATCAAGAGTATGAGTCGCTACTTGTCAATGTATCTTCTACCGATTCTTCCGAGCAGGTAAAGTATATTATTTATATTAAAATTAATATCGTAAAACAAATTTATAAAGATGATATAAACATAGACAATAATACTACTCTTTGCATATAGAAAGAAGATCAAAATTCAAATTTTTACCATCCCGAAACTTCTGATGAGACTTTTTTTTCGGCCAGTTCTTCATCTGTAGGAGTAAGATATATTCTCTGTTCAATAAATAACAATTTTATAATATTATAAATATATACAATTAAAGATATTTATAGAGTACAGACTATAACGCATGCGCAAGCAATTGCAAAATGGAATGGACACCTACACTTTCTTTAGAAGAAGCAATAGAGGAATTGAAAGAAATAGCCGTATTAAATACAATTGAAAATACTGAATTGATAAAAATAAGTGATGCTTACGGTAGAATATTATATGAAAATGTTTATTCGAAATATAACATGCCACCATTTAGAACTTCCAAAAAGCATGGATACGCAGTGTTGGTATCTGATGGACAAAGCATGAGACAGGTGTTGAACGATAACAATACAGTAAGATAAATTTGACGAATATATCTATTTTCTATATGTATATTGCATATATATTTTTTGTTGCATATATGCAATAAGCAACAATTATTAGAACTAGCTAGAACTAAATAAAATTTGTTCAGTTTCCTCCAATTTCGCTTCAATGTGGAACGTGCGTATGGGTGAAGAGTGGAGCGCCTGTTCCCAATGGTGAATAATTATAAGTTATAATTACATTAATTTATCGTTTGCATTATAATAAGAAATCAACTATCGTTTATGTCCGATTACAGAAGCAACAGCGGTTGTAGAAGAGAAAGATACAAAACGAATTAAACCTCGTTTAAATAACGACAAAGTGTATATTGAAATAATGAGTAAACCACAACATGGGCAAAACATTAAGTAAAAATTCAATATTTTCATATCAGACAAAATTTTATTTTTATTTATCAAATTAGTTATTTTATTTATGTATATATTTATTTCAAAGTCCTATTGGTTATAATGTAAAGAAAGATGAAATTATTATGAAAAAATACTCACGTATTGGACCAGAAGAGATGGGAGTCCTGGCAGCTTCTGGCTGTAAAGAAGTTGTAGTCGCTCAGCAGTTGTCTATAGGTGTATTATCCATCGGCAATAACTTAGAAGAACCCGGAAAACCTTTAAAACTAGGATATGTTTACGATATTAACAGATTAATTTTAATTTCACTACTAAAAAATAATGATTTCTCTTCTTTGGATCTTGGAATCGTGAATAATATGTGAGAGCATTGAAAATTTATTACAATTTCAAATATGCAAGATAATATATTACTTTAATAATTTTTTATTTACTAAATTTTGTTCAATAATTATATAAATAATTTTAAAAAGCAATTAATTTTTTGTAGATCATCATTCATACGAAAGAATATCGAGGAAGCTCTACATAAAGTAGATATACTTGTGACAACAGGCTTTGCTAATGATAAAGATTTATTGAAGAAAATTTTAGTAGAAGACTTTGAAGCCGCAATACATTTTGGTACTTCTTATTTTTCTCATTAATTTTCAATATACAAAATGACATACTTTTCACGTAACTGTATCCGTTTCTTTCAGGTAATGTAAATATAAAACCAGGGAAGTCAACCACACTAGCTACATGCAAAATCAATGGTAAAATAAAGATTGTTTTGTGTTTGTCGGGAAATCCAGTAACTGCTTTCATTGCTGCGCAAGTATTCCTTTTGCCTCTTCTGAGAAAGATGTCTGGCAATATATACACGGAAAAGCCTTACGTACCAGTTTATGTAAGTTTAGTCTCACGTAATATATCATAAAATATAGAAAAAACACATATATATTTAGTATCATAATATTCTTATAAAATTGTAGGTAAATGATCCATTTATTCAGCATCATCGTCCTAGATTAGTGTGTACATATTTGAAGTGGTCCGATAAAGATAATGTAGCAAGGACTTTTAGCATGGGTAATCTTTTGTGTTTGTCGGGAAATCCAGTAACTGCTTTCATTGCTGCGCAAGTATTCCTTTTGCCTCTTCTCAGAAAGATGTCTGGCAATATATTCAAAGATAGACTATGTAACATCGTAGGTTCAAACGCACTTATACTATTACCAGCAAGTACGACAAAATGGGAACCGTCTAAAAATGGAAGAATGGCAGTATTACTTTTTGACTGTCCAGAAAAGTACAAACATCCATTACCTAATCTTTTCAATATAAAAAAGGAATAATGCAATATAAAAAAAAAATATTTTTTGTTTTACGGAAAGTCATCGATATAAAAAGATTCAATGTAAGATTTCGGGGACTGTAGAGTGCATGATGGTAAAGTATTGATAAGCATCGCTCAAAATCAAAGCATATCAACATTTTACAGTCAAAATCATATTCATTTTAATTTTTGTTGCGTTGATGACTCTGTGTTTTGGCTCGATCCAAAATTAAAATTGGACAACCTTAATACATTAGATAATGAAATAGAATTTCCAGATTTAATTACATAATAAAGATTCTGTTTTATCTATTTTAAATGATTAATGTTTATTTAATTAAACAGCTAATTAACAATTAAATAATTTTTACTTTACAGTAATAAATAAAAAAAAAATCATTAAGTAGATATACATAGATAATGCAGAATAATTTTAACATAACTATTAAATATTTATATATGACAATAACTATTTGATTTGACTTCAAATATGCATTTACTACTTTTTTATTTCGATTTCTTTTTCTTTAAACTTTAAAGTGATACTTTTATTATAATGCATTACTCATATATTAAAAATAATACGACAAATATTAATAAATATAAAAATTTGAAACGTGAAAAAATGTGTCAAAATTAAAATAGCAATAGGAATGAAATGAAAAGTTAAAGTTATAATTCGTATATGATATATTCTTCATGTAATATTAGATCTGACTTATAATTGTAAATATATTGCGCATATATATTATATAATAAAATCTATTTTTAAAATACAATATTGTAATGAAAAACGTGTTTCTGTTAAAAATATTAAAATTATTATATATATATATATATATATAATACATATTTCTAATATATAAATTTAATTTTTTTATTATATATATATGTGTAATAGAATATATAAGAATTCGTTATTTAAAACATGAAAAAATCTGCGGTATATTATAATACATATGTTCTAAACAAAGTTGACATTTTATCCAAGTACAATCTTATTATTAAGAAAAGAGAAAAAATGTAAACAATTTGTCACCATGAAACATTTCTGTGAACTATTTCGACGGTTAGAACTAGTCCAACCGACAAACGTAGTAGCTGCTACAAAGCATACGCACGAAACGGTAAAATCCTTCGATAACAGTCAGTATAACATACGATAAAACAACATTAAAAGAGATTAAAATGATAATCAACTTTGGAATTATAATAAGTATGTTCTGTAAACTGTAAAGTATATTCTTCATACATATCATACCATTCTGAAAGAAACTGTGTGCATATTTAAGTAAAATCCATTTATTTAAATAATAGATTGTAGTAAAAAGTATATATATGCTAAATTGAAAAATTAAAAATATTACAGTATATTTTGCGACAGTTTCTTTAATTATTAATAATTCTAGTAAAATAAATACAATTTTCACATATTTTATAATTTTGTCACATGAAACAGAATTTAACAGTTTTTTTGTATATACATGTATTAAAATATAATAAAAAATATATTTGATAATCAGACTCAATATATATGTCATAATTTTCAAAATTCTAAATCTATTATGATTATTTAGTATGTATATAAAATGAAATGAAATAATAAGATTATCATAGTTATAGATGACAGTGAGACAGCAGATAAAAATATTATTGATAACGTTAGTGACATTCAGAATGTGCTATTAACTAGGATTGTAGATGTACAATTTGAAGTAATGACAATAAACCCAGTTAAAACTGATATAACGGTAACTACATATATATTACAAATTTTCTTGTTTTATTGATCACTACATTTATTTTGCTTACATGATATAGACCGAACTACTTTTTGCGAGCAATAAAAATGATGTTATTCTTATTATTAGTAATAATGTGTCTATTAACAGACATCTTGTAAAAGAAGCAATTAAAAATATTAGCGATAACCATGAAGTTTCTAAAAGAGTAACAAGATCGTTATTAAACATTGAAATGACACTGAAGGAGATTACGCTACATGAGTAAAAAACGCTTTACTTCTATTTAAGTTGAGATTTTTATAATTACAAGTTTTATAATTGTGATTTGTTTTAGGACTGTATGTAGAATACGAAATACAGCATTAATCGTTGATTTGTCGTACCTGCACAAAAATATAAAAAATTACTTCGCAGCAATTACAAATATGATACTGCAGACGGTACATTTGATACGTATAGACAAAAATGAAAATATTTTGCTACACGACATCGCATCTACTTCCAAGGCTAATTCTACAGAGGTAAGATACTGTTTGCATTAGTAATAACGTACAATTTTATAATATTACGTATATATTAGTTTTTAATACAGAGAGAAAACAAAACTACCTTAAAGCGCTGCACAATATCTCCTGTGTATGACTTATTAGTAAATTCTGTAAGTCTGCAGTTAAAATATTTTCTATATTAAAGATAAAGTAAAATTTTTTTAATATTGTACGTACGATTAAATTTTCTTATAGGACACGAGCCCGAATAAGCGTCATAAAAAATCATTTCCTATGATTTCTGCAGCAGACGCACTGCTCAAGATGAGGGAAATAATAAGTAAAAATAAAAACGAAATTATTTTTGAAACAGTGCAGCTAAATGATGCATATAATAGAATATTGTGCGAGAATGTGGAATCCGCTTATAATCTACCACCATTTAATGCTTCCACTAAACACGGATACGCAGTAATGGTAAGCGATGGAAAAAATTTAAGGAAACTGCTACATGACGACGACGAAAATATGGTAAATTATATCAGACTCGTATGTGTGTGTGTGTGTGTGTGTGTGTGCGCGCGCGCGCGTGGGCGTGTGACTAACTGAAATTACGGTACAAAATTTTTCAGTTGTCTCCGATATCGCTTCAACCTGAGACATGCGTGTGGGTGAATACCGGAGATCCTATTCCTGATGGTAAATAATTATGCACATTACTAATACTTATCTATTTGCAGTAAAAAATTAACTGTCCATATTACAGAAGCAACAGCAGTTGTACAAGCGAAGGATGTAAAACTAATAGAAAACTTCGAAGACTGTGATGATATGTATATTGAGATATTGGTTCAACCACAGTACTACGAAAATATTAAGTATAAAAGTCCATATTTTTTATACTATATATTTTATATGGACAAAACACCAAAAAATTACGTGATATTCTTCGCAATATATAATATTAGAATAAATTATCAGATTTAGATTTTAAAATTGTAATTTGACTCTTATTCGCCCTGTTTAACGTATTAATTATTGTTATATAAAAAAGAGTCCTTGAAATCTTCAATTTATTTGTTTCCATATTTTTTATAAACACAACGATACTGCAGATTTTATATCTTTGTAAAAGCAGTTAAATAACTTGTTTGTTTATCTTGTAGACCTATTGGTTATGATTTAATGAAAGGAAAAACTGTCGCAACTCCATATACGCGTATTGGCCCATCGGAGATTGGACTTTTAGCAGCTTCGGGTCGTAAAGAAGTCTTAGTCGCTAAAAATACACCTATAGGTATATTATCTATCGGAAATAACTTAGAAGAACCTGGAGAAATTTTGTTACCAGGATTTGTCTACGATATTAACCGAATTACTCTAATTGCATTACTTAAAGAGAAAGGTTTCAATTATTTGGATTTCGGAATCGTGAATAATATGTAAGGATATTTAAAATTTTTCCCCACAATTTGTATGCTGATACTCTTTATTTCATGTACTAATTGTGATTATTTTAATTTTTCTATGATAATAAATATTTAATTCAAAAAATAATTTACATTTTAGGATAGCATCTATAAAAAATAAAATCGACGAAGCTTTAAAGAAAGTAGATATACTTGTAACAACAGGCTCAACTAATAACAGAGATTTAATGAAAATTATTTTGGAAGAATATTACGAAGCGGACATACATTTCGGTAATGTTTCATTCTTATTAATATAATTAAATATATCAAAAGAGACATACACGCATCCTGTTTTAACTTAAATGCATTTCTCCAGGAAACATAAATATCAAACCAGGAAAGTCAACGATATTTGCAACGTGCGAAATTAATAACACAAAGAAGTATTTCTGGTGTCTACCAGGAAATCCAGTATCCGCTCACATTACCGCGCAAGTATTTCTTTCGTCCTTTTTGAACGAGATGTTCTTCAACTTCTACTCGGAATATGCTGTAGTACCAGCTCGCGTAAGATTATTGCAACCTCGTATATTATAGAAAAAAGATGCGATATATATTAATTATATTATAATTTTATAACCTCGTAGATAGAATGTGAATACATCTTGCATAGCCGCCCTAGAATGGCTTGGGCAATTTTAGGATGGGATACGAATGCAAACTGTGCATTAGTTTATACCAAGCAAAATGCCATTACTGATAAGCTGGTTAGTGCTATAGGAACCAACGCAGTCTTGATGCTACCAAAAAAAGAAGACGGAAGTATAAAACGTAAATCATTTGAACAAGCCTTACTTATCAAAATTCCCAACAAGTTCATTAACAATTATTTAATACATTTCCAAAGTTGAAAAAGATCAAAAATGTACATGGCTTGTTTGAAATATTTAAATTGTTAATTTTTTGACGAAATAGTTAGATACTATTATATTTTTACTTAATCTAACATAGTTATTTCGTTTGACTTCTCTTTAATGTTCTATTTTTTATCTTCCATGCTTTTTTTTTTCTTCAAAAATAAGATAATAATATTCTATACAATATATTGTAGGTACGTTAAAAATATATTATTTTTATCTAAATGACATTTAAATATATATATATAATCCTACAGTATAGGCGTATATACATAAAATAGTGGTCTGCAAATGGATCTATAGTTAGACTTTTCTTATGGATATTTAATATTAATTAATTTAATATTGACCTGTTCATTATTTAAACGATAATAATTAATTACTTATTTGGAGTACTAAATAGATTGAACAACAATGCTTTTAATACTGAAAATATTATCTTTCAGTGTTAAATTGCTCAATATTAGATTTCTATAAAATAAGTTGTTGTATTATTATTGTTTTTTGTTTTTCTGTCATAAATCATTTAAATCTTCAAACACGTTTAGCGAACAAAATCTCACAGATATAATGATATAGTTTTCATAATCATGGAGATATTACTATAGATAGCTAGTTTTAGACAAATTTTTATAACTACCAAACCTGATAATAATAGAGAGAAGAATAGGCATTATTAATTACTGATATTGTATATATATATATGTGTATATATATCATATATATTATATATATACACAATTTAATGCATTGTCAATATGTTTGCAGAGTACAATTGCTTAACAATATATTACAAAGAATAGTTTGAAAATTGAAAATTGGAATAATTTAAGCTTAAAAAAATATTAATAATTTTAAAAAAGCATCAAAAATATTTTAATAGAGCAAAACACATACCAAGAAAAAACAAGGTAGAGAAAACGGCAATATTGTTAAGCAATTTTTAATCTCTTTTATTATAATAAATACGGCTCATGAATGGAAATTATAAACTATATTATAAATAAAATATTATAAATAAAAATTTCCATGCAATTGATAATTATTCTCGGCAGATATTTTAATTAGAATGAATCTTTTATATCTTTAATCGTGCATGAATTTTTTCAGCTATTTCAACATTTGTAGATCAATTCGAAAATCCGAAATTAAAATAATTATAACAAATAATATAGAGAAACAGGACAATGAGTCGATAAATTACGTTAAAAATTTTAATAAATTAATTTAATATATTGCGAACAGCTTACTAAAAAAATTGCAAGATAAATCGAGTGTAATACGGAGCTGTCTACAATGGGAATCGAAGGCGGTCTTGAAGTCATTAAAAAAATCGTAAGAAATTAACCAATTACAGTTGATTATTCCTATCACATTCGACTGTAATTGGTAGATTTCTTGCAACTAACTGAGACTTTGATTATTTGTGACTCCTATTGTAGATCGTATAAAGGAAACGAATGACAATAAGTGTAAACGCTTAACTTCTACAAATCGGTGGTCGACCAATTCTTCATTTTTTTCTAGATCTTTCATCTCTTAATTGAATATACAGGATACATCACAATTAAATTATAAATCACACTCACCATTTCCTCTCAGCTAACCAAGTTGTCAATTTCATAAGATTTCTCTCGTAACACTCGCAAAAACGTACAAGTAATTTGCACCATACTTTGCGCGCTATTCTTGAAGTTAAGACGCGAAGTTAACGAAAAGTCGAATCAATTTACAAATACAGCCAACGGACGCGGTTAAAAAATCATGCGCCTTGAAACACATTCGCGATAGAACTTAAATATGTAAATTCCGCGAAATGCAAAAGCAATCAAGAACCACTACACTAGTTACTTAATACGTATCATATCCACGAACTCTTCGTCGTATTAAATCGTACAATTCGTATATTACCCTGCATTCTCGAGATACAAAAGGAATGACCAAATTATTTTCAGAATTATTAATAGATTAATGAATAATGCGTTTGACACGCGTTCAGTAAATAGACACATTAATCTAATTTTCTCATCCTCCTATCGTTCGATACATCGCAACAAATAAACCGCGCAACACGCGCAAAGACAAACGACAAGCGCATAGCGTCTCGTGAACTGTGGAGACGTCGCCAGTTACGCGAATGGTGGGACAGACGAGTCAATCAGCCAATCAACGTGCACGACTTAATCTGATTATTAAAACTCTTGGTATCTCATCGATATTCGCGATATCGTCGTAATCAATCGTAAATTTCACTGCGGTAGGTTTCACGATATGATTTAGATCTATTGTTTTCAGCTGAAAGTCTTGTATCGCTCATCTGTTCTCTTTTTTTCTCCAACATAAAGAAAAAAAGAGAAAAGATGAACCATACGAGAAGTTCAGCCGAAAAGACGGCGACGAACGGTAGTGTGACGTACGGAAAGTGTATGTTAAGTGCAGCTACACTTTCCGTGATGTGGAATCGTGAAACAAATATGGCCGCTCGCTGAGGACGGCTGTCAAAAATCAGAGAACGAGTGTCCTGACGCGTGGATAGTTTCGGGATACTTGGTCTCTTTTTTTCCGTTCGGAAAAGCATTGTCGTCTCGCGATAAGATAAAACGAAAGAATGTTGACAGCAGCCGCGAATATGTCCAACAATGGTGGCTCTTACAGTGTCGAAAGGCCGCCCACTCCAGATGCGGATCTCTTTGATACCATGGAAATTCCTTCCTTCATGAGTGGATTATTTCATCCCGAATACAAAAAGTAATTAACCTAGAAGTGACTTACGTATGATTTCGTTTATCTAAAAAAATCATTTCTTCAACCGCAAAATGATATAATTTGAAGCCAGCTAGCAACATACTGAAACTACTTTTGTCATGAATATTGAGTTGTATCTTTATCTGCATCTTATTATTTATATCTTATTAATAGAGATACGTTTATGTTTAATATGATATACAGACTGCATTCGAGAGATGTGCTATGGATATCGTTATATCATATGTTTAATTACTCCCTGTTTTCACACAAGTAATACTAAATCTAAGAGTTATGTGAATATTTTATATTCAGATAATATCGTCATTATTTGATCACATTGGTGACAAAGTTATTAAATAACAACACAGATTATAACTTCACTTTTAACGTGAATAAAAAGAAACATGTATTTAATTAAATTAAGACATTACAAATGAGATTTATCCAAGTTCTGATTTTAATGAGATGCAACTTTTATTGCTTATTAAACGTAAAACTGGATTGAACGGAATAGCATTGATAGTGCATTCTCCAAACACAGTCATAGATGGACATTTTCATAAAAGTATATCTGTTTCAGGCACGATGATCTTAAAGAGATGCTAGACAGTAATAAGGATGGACTTAAATTAGAAGCCATGAAACGTATTATTGGGGTAATAACATGATTTAGATTTAAGATCATATTCTTGAAAAATATCATATATGAAAATACTTGAGAAATTTATGTATAATATTTTCACATTTTTGTGTGCAATATTTTTCAAGAATATTGAATTGATTAGTTGTATTATTAACAATAACTTTCCTTTAGATGGTAGCCAAAGGAAAAGATGCATCAGAAATGTTTCCAGCTGTCGTAAAAAATGTAGTATCTAAAAATATTGAGGTAAAAAAGTTGGTATATGTTTACCTAGTTCGTTATGCGGAGGACCAACAAGATTTGGCACTTCTGTCCATATCGACATTTCAAAGAGCTCTGAAGGATCCCAACCAGCTCATAAGAGCAAGTGCTCTGAGGGTATTATCTAGTATACGAGTTTCGATGATAGTACCCATTGTGATGTTGGCCATTAAAGACTCAGCTAGTGATATGTCGCCATATGTGCGAAAAACTGCTGCTCACGCTATTCCTAAATTATATTCATTGGACCATGAACAAAAAGAAGAATTGATAGCCGTACTTGAAAAGTTACTGTCTGACAAAACTACCCTTGTGGTAGGCTCGGCAGTAATGGCTTTCGAAGAAGTGTGTCCAGAAAGGATAGATCTTATCCATAAGAATTATAGAAAATTGTGTAATTTATTAGTGGATGTTGACGAATGGGGTCAAGTGGTTATTGTTAACATGCTCACTAGATATGCAAGAACACAATTTGTTAATCCAAATACAGATGTAAGTATATATATCTTTGAGACAGAAGAAAGGAAAGAGCTAAATACATAGTTCTAAAATAATTTTTAAAATATTTGCAGATTTTAGAAGAAGATGAAAATCGGCCATTTTATGACTCTGATTCTGATTCTTCCAATACAAAGAAACCAAAGTTTATGTTAGATCACGATCATCGTTTGCTGCTAAGAAACACGAAACCTTTGTTACAAAGTCGAAACGCATCTGTGGTAATGGCGGTTGCTCAATTATATCATCATGCAGCGCCTAGAAGCGAAGTTATGACCGCTGCAAAGGCACTAATTAGATTATTGAGAAGTCATAGAGAAGTGCAGAGTATTGTGCTTCATTGTATTGCCAGTATATCAATTACGAGAAAAGTAAATGCGGTACCTTGACATGATATAAATTAATCTGTTATTCAACTGACATTGTATAACTAATTCGTATTCATTCTACGTTCAACAGGGAATGTTTGAGCCTTTCTTGAAATCATTCTTTGTGCGGACTTCCGATCCTACTCATATAAAACTTCTAAAACTCGATATATTAACAAATTTGGTAACTGAAACCAGCATCAGTGTGATACTGAGAGAGTTTCAAACATACATCTCCAGCAGTGACAAGGAATTTGTCGGCGCTAGTATTCAGGCAATTGGTAGATGTGCAAGTAACATCAAAGAAGTGACTGATATGTGTCTCAGTGGATTGGTATCATTGTTGAGTAATAGAGATGGTAAGCTTCTTTTACAGTATACCTGTTATATTTTATATTATACCTTATGCCATTTTAAACATTACGCACTTTTATTTTTCCACAGAGACTATTGTGGCAGAAAGTGTTGTAGTAATAAAAAAGCTCCTGCAAACGCAACCAAATGAGCACAAAGACATTATTGCTCATATGGCTAAATTAATGGATTTTATTACGGTGCCACAAGCCAGAGCATCTATCTTGTGGCTCCTAGGCGAATATTCTGACAGAGTCCCTAAGATAGCACCGGATGTACTTCGAAAAATGGCGAAAAGTTTCGTGAATGAGCAGGATATAGTGAAACTGCAAACTTTGAATTTGGCCGTGAAATTATGCTTGAACAATCCCTCGCAAACAAAACCGTTTTGTCAGTATGTCTTCCAACTTGCCAAATATGATCAGAATTACGACATCCGAGATCGCGCGCGTTTTCTACGGCATTTTATCTTCGAAGATGATGGTGATGTGAAGAAGCTTCCACAGTTCGCGAAGAGAGTTTTCCTTGCACCGAAACCGGCACCAACTTTAACATCTAGGTTTAAAGAATCGGAGTATCAATTGGGTACTCTGTCTCACTATCTGGATATGCCATGCGTAGGATATCGACCTTTACCACCTTTTCCGGAAGTTACGCAAGATCCATCTGTGCGAGATGTTGCGCTGCCTACCTCGAAAGAGCTCAGAGAAGAACGTCATAATAGAAAAGAAAAAGAAAAGAAAAAGAACAAGGAAAAGGCGAAACCTTTCTATAGTGATGAGGAAAGCACTCCTGCTGAAGGTATAGTCTGATAACATTTGCACCTGTATTATGTGCTTAAATTTTCTATCTTTAATTTTGATCTTAAATTTAATTTTAATTTTCAATTTCAGAATCGGATGACCAATCATCCGATTCATCATCAAGCGAATCTTCAGATGAAGATAATGATTCTTCAGAATATACAAGTGAATCAGATAAATCCGAAATGGACAGTGGAAAGAAAAATGAAATAAAATCTGACGATTTTGAAAGCGAATCATCGAGCGATGAAGAGTCAGATTCTGAAAATGAAGAGGAGGAAAGCGAAACTCAAGAAAACGAAGAAGAAAAACCGAAAGCTGTTAAACAAGAAGTGAAAGAAAAGCCAAAGAGCAACTTTGATCTATTATTAGATTTGGATGATGGTTGGTTTGATAAAAAATTAATTTAAAAAAATTAAAATTAATGCATTTATTACATCTCTTTTTTTACAGTTATTCCAATGACTCCTGTAATGACGCCTAGTTTGGGTGGTTTTCTTACTCCAATTAATTCAACAATCACAGATAGTGTTCGAGAAGTATCGACGTCGTACGTTCCATTAAAAAAAACTACTTTATTAAATAGTATCGTAGGGCACGGTTTAAAAATTGAATACAGATTTACAAGATCGCAACATTTAGTTAGCTCAAGTTTGGTTAGTATCGAATTAACATTCTCTAATGAAAACAACGATGTCGTTAAGGAAATTCAAATAGGAAACAAAGTGAGTAATGTTTCAAGTATATATATATACTTGAAATTTATATATATATATGTGTATAACATTACTGTTCATATAACTGTTATATGTTAGATATAAAATATTTTGTTCTTATCTCTTTCAGAATTTACAAAAGGGTATGTTTATTTATGATTTTACGCAAATATCGTCTCTTGATGCAAACGCTACGTTAGCTTCGACGCTAGGCATTAATTTTAATGATTCCACTCAACCGGCCAATTTCAACTTTGATTTCACTATTAATGACGAGAAATATTCCTGTCCGGTCAGTATTAAACCACCGATTGGAGAAATAATAAGATCTGTGACTTTGCCTGAAAGCATGTTCAATGTGGAAAAGGCTAAATTGAAAGGTATGAACGAGCACATAGCGAAAATACCATATTCTAAAAACAAAAATGCTCTTCCTCAAAAAGTGTTTGAGACTGCAAATGTTGCAAGAGTATCTAATGAGGATGAAGTTATTCGGTAAGATATGCGTTTATTATAAATCTAATTACATATTTCATAAGAGAGTCTTCAATATATTTTGTAAATCTTAATCAAGTATAAAAAATTAAACATTGTAAATTTTTACAGGTTTGCCGCTCATACTTTAGCGTCTAAATCGTTGGTATTGGTGACAATAAAATTCATTGACGCTGGACAATTAGAAGTTTGCGTGAATTGTGAAAAAATGGTTATAGGATCAATTTTGTTAAACGAATTTAAGAGTAATTTAAAATAAAATGAATATATTCTATTTGTGGGATTAAATAATATAAATATGTTTCATACATTTATGAGGCAATTTGAATACTCCTTTTTCGTTAGGTAAAGGTAATTTTTTTAAAATATATTCCATTTATATATATATATATAAGATTTATATATATATAGTATGTATATATATATTTCTCTAGATATACATGTGTGTGTGTGTGTGTGTGTGTGTGTGTGTGTGTGTGTGTGTGTGTGTGTGTTGTGTGTGTGTGTGTGTGTGTGTGGCGTGGATGTATATACATGTATATATACATACATCTACAAGTATGAGTATGATGTATAATTACAAGTGTATAAATATTCTGTTACGCCACGTGATGGTTTTATAATAAATTCTAACTGCTTTTTGTCATAAAACTGCTCTTTTTAAATTACACCATATTAATTGCTGTGACTCACTGACATCACAATCTGCTATCTCCCAGAAACGCAATCGATACTCCTTACGACTAGTCAGGAATGTCTTCAATACTACATAAGAAAAGAGTTCTCATATTATACACAATAAATACATAAAATGTTGAAATTCGATACTCACTTCTTAACATTCCGCTGGAGATCGGCTTCGAAAAACCAATGTTTTCGTTTGGAAAACGTGCGACTACATCCGATAGGATTCCTGTACCGAAACCTTGATTCCTATATTCCGAACGAATATACGCCGTATCTACTACAGGCATTACGTATCTCTCTTTCGTTAAGAATATTTCCGTACCTATACGAATAATTAAGAGAATATTGCATTTGTATTCTCACATTTTGAATTTTTCTAACATCATTTAATTACCTATAGGTTTAACGGTATAAAATCCGATCGCTTTGCCTCCTTGCCACCTTAGTAAAATGATATCGGACTCATCCACCAAAGTATACAACGACTCGTACCTTTCCGGTCGTGGTGCGTCGAAATTTGGATAAACGATCTGGCTCAGTATGTAAAAAAGCACCTTATCACGATCCGTTTGGACCTCCCGCCATTCATTGTCGAGTCGATCGCAATAAGCATCATTAACGTCGATTATCTCGTCGTTTAATTTTACAGCTACGAAATGAGTGCCGTCGATGCAATCTATGCGATGGACGTCGCCCTGAATGTTCAAACTCCGTAGATCGAGTTGAATCGTTTTTATTTGTACATATTTTTCGCATCTAGGAAACGATATATATTAGTTGTAAAAATTTTTTTTCATATGAAAGTGTGAGTAACAACAGCGAGTAATTTATGTTTTACAGATGAAAATCGAGGGAAATGCTCGCAATGAAAATATCATTACGTAATCGACTAATTTTAATATTGACAACGTGGCAGGCTAATCAGATTCTGAAACAAGTAACATGAACTCATAGAAAATAAATTGATTCATCACCTCGAACATATCATCTCGACGGAACAAAGACGCGAGTAACGTCGTGATAAGAGAGAAATATATATTCTACTAGAGTGCCGTACGAAAAAGTGAAACTTATTATCTGATAAGAGGATAGTAATTTAGTTGTCACTCTTGAACTGTTTTATCGGTAAAGTATGCGTACGTGACAAATCGAGTTTACTATGTAGTGTACGCCACGCGGCAAACAATTTTCGAATTTGACACGGAAATTTACGTACGTAATTTGCAATGAATAGATTTATATTGATTTCGTAGCATAAGAAATAAGAATCGTGTTTTTTCTCTATGTTCTTAATACGTATTTAATGCGTGAGTTAAAACTGATTAAGTAACTATAGTGTGTGTTCTTTAAGGTGGAAAGTGACAATTTTTTCATTGAAAGTAACGAAGAAATTTATCACTTTTCATTTTTCTGTCTTAGGGAAAAAGTTATAAGATGTACTTGTCACTTGTACTTCTTCATTTTTTTTTTTTTCTTCATATGTTAGAGAACAAAAGAAAAAAGATGAACGGTGTAAGCAAAGACATAGAGAATGGACTGCGTGATCCCGTATCTAAATCTAAGTAGTATCAATGAAAATGTGGTCGACGAAAATGAGAGAGAGGGTCCGTGGAAGACGGCCATCTCTATCTTTTTCCATTCGATGGTGTAATGGAAGAGAGAATGAGAGAGAGAGATGGCCGTCTTCCACGGTCCCTCTCTTTCATCCCTATCGATCATTTTGACACACGGATCGCGCAGTCCATTCTCTATGCTTTGGGTGTAAGAGATTCAAACTAAAAAAAGGTCTGTTCTTTTTAACTGAATTTATTGTTCAATTCATCTTTTCTTTTTTTCTCCAAGATGAAAAGGAAAATAGGAAAAATAAATTATGTAAAAATTTATTTAAGAAAAATAGGTTTAAGGACTTATGATCGCTATTCAGAATTAGCGATCGCATAAGATACATAAAAAAATTACCGAAAACAGGATTTTTGCATTGAATTACCAGAGAATAATTAGAGGAAATCATTAGTGCATTTAAAAAACATTTATTTTCTATGATTATATATATATATATATATGTGCACTAAGTTCTTGCAAAGTTGAAATTCCCTGCATTAATTTATGTAGGTATATTACTTTCTTTTGCAATTTTTGCGTAATTTTATAAATTATGGAAACAATAAGGAAGTAATTATTATTTTGTGATAAGGTGTTATTTTTAATTGCTCGGTACGCTTGTCAATGCAGCTGATAAGATTCGGTTAAGTGTACAATTGCATGAAACCAGTTGAACGAATCTTATGCGTAAGTGCACGAAAAATGTAGCGGTATTCGGCCATTGAACGATAAAATCATGTTCTTCTGTTCTTCATTACATAGATAATGACAATAAAGTCAAAATAAACTCTATTAGCGTGTATCACTAACTGTTACACATTATTTTTTATGATATAATTATATTTATAATCGACGAATGTTATATTCTCTCTGATTATTATCTGATGATGATTTTATTCTTCGCGTATATTTTGATATCTTGTATTTTACTTCAACACGATAACGATAGAAATTAATTTTTATGTTCTTACAAATTGGGTTCAAATCTTTACATTACATACATAATTCAACATTTATTAATTATGTCTATATATAGGTATAAAACTCCAGCAACACGCAAAATTTCCGAATGCAATTTAGGAAGAAAATCCGCTATAAGTTGAGCGAAGAAAATAATAAGAAATGAGACAGAAATATGCTTTATTGAAGAATTTCCATCTTCTGATTATAACATTCAGTTGGAAAAAAAATCTAGATAAGTGTTAGATGGCAATGCAGTGGTGTAACTAATCGCGGACCGTGGGGAATACGATGGGGATCAACGAATTACTCTACTTTTCTTTTGCTCATCCTCTCCGCGACATTATATTGCAGATAACATCGACGTATCTCTCATTGACAGACGATAGCATGGAACGTATCACACGTTCGCCTATTTACGCCTGCGCGCTTAGTGTGTCATGCAGTTAGTATCAGTGGAGTCGTCCGTGCATACCGATACGTTAAAAGCGAAAACCTTATCCCAGGGATCCCAGGATTCCTGGGTATCCTCAATAGTGACGCGCCGATGTTGGAAGAGTGCACATAGTACGGTCCGTACAATTACACATCAGCTAGACGACGCGGACTGGATACCTACGCGTTCGCTTCGATGGCTTCGTCAAAGCAGAAAGAGGTTCTGCTTAAATGCAAATGTGAAAAAATCCATGTAATCGGTAATTCGCCCATTCTGCCGATTATTCACATGAATTGCACGAATCGACGTAAGTCTGTCTACAACATTAATCTAAATACATATAGGGATTTGTTCCACTTAATATTCACAACGCTCGCGAGCATCATTTCATTCTTGTTTAACATTTGAAAACGATAAGGATAAAATAATGCTCGCGAGCGTTGCGAACTGTTGGGTTGTGTGTTTGCGATACACGATCTTTCGAATGTTTAAAGAGTTGTTCGTCAGAGTGTGATACTTTTGTTTGTCTAGCAACGATTGATCGGGTTGATTATGAAATGACGTATCGAATTTGAATTGAAAATACATATTCTTGACGTTGCTATAGTTACGTGATTCGTTCTTCGATATCGCAGTTTTTTTTTTTTCAGCAAATAACGTAACAATTGGCGCTGTTAATTAATTTTCTTCGAACCTACATTGGCCTCGTTTTTGTTCCAAAATGACCTCGTCCATGCAACAATTTCTTGGTGCAATGGCACAGCATCAGCAGAAAATGGCTCAAGATCGACAGTTTCTTATGCGGCAGCTTGCTGATTCACAGAAAGTAATAACGGATCTACTCTTTGCACAGAAACATATAGTGCTGATTTTCCAACGACTTCGCAGATATGAGTGATTCTAACGGCCCGTCGGCGAAATCTTCGCAATTTTCAAATCTTCCGACCAGACTGGGCAAATTCGCCCATGATCTGTCTGAAGGTAAAACTTTCTCGTTGTGGTTTAAGCGATATGCTTGCACTTTTGGAGAAGGCTCAAGAGGATTATCTGTGGAAGAGTGCATTACTTCTTAATGCGCTTAGAGATAACGAGTATCACCGGTTGCTCAGTCATCTTTCTCTTAAGAAAACCTAATGAATTGTCCTTCAATGATCTTGTAGTTCCTTTAAAGAAACAATTTCACGATAATAAAACGATATTTCAGCGTCGCTATGAAGCTTTAAATTTTAGAACTTTTTCACCTATGACTGCGTTATTGAAATTCTTGATAAAATCAACATTTTGGGAGACAATTTCGAATTTTATAACTTCAAAATCGATTAACTCAAGATTGTCCTTGCAGTTCTTGCTCTTACAATTAGTGACCGTTCTTATCACTCAGAGAAGACTATTCTTTTCAAGCTAGTTGCTGAAAATAGAATCCTGCACATTCAGTGACATTCGTGAGATTTGCTACGCTCATGCAGAATGCAATGTTGATGTCATGCGTGTTGCAGATTCGCGTCCACTGAAATGAATTAAGCTGTTAAGCAGACAGAGAAGAAGAATAAAGGTAAAGATTCTAAAAAAGTTTCTAAACGCGCCAGTAATGTCAAATTCTCTCTGAAGGATAAAAAGATGGATCAATCGTATTCGCCATGTGGTGCAACGAACCATAAACAAATTGACTGTCTTTTTAGAAAAGCGGACTGTCGCATTTGTAGTAAGGTTGGACATATTGCCAAGGTCTGTTTCTCGAAGAGCAAAACTGAAGTTACAGTGTTATTAGGTTGCAAGGGATTCTCGTATCAACATCGTATCACAGGGTATCAACATCGCAAGTATGCAGATGTTTCTATGAATAATCGGACAATGTGAGAATGCAACTTGACACTGGAACGGATGTGACAATTGGAACCAAAGTCTGGAAGTTGATCGGCTGTTTGAAGCTTACACCGTGTATTAATGCGTCTGTGTCCATCCAATCTGTGTGAGGGGTTTTTCTACACCACACTTGGCTACAAAGAGAAAACTTCAAAAGAACCAATTATCATTCTTATTAATCGCTCGGATATTGCCCTGATTAGCGCTTAAAGCTATCGATGGACTCGATTTGATCGCTTACGATTCAGACATATCGAAATGTGATTTAGAAAGATTCACACAAGGGTAAGTTTCCCCATTTATTCGATGGGAGAATGTAAGAAGAATTCATCTCGGATTGAGACCTGATGCTTGATCAGTTCATGTATCGTGTCGACCTATATCTCTTGCCCTCGAAGAACCGCTTACGCGGAACTGGATAGATTTATCGGAAATGGAATAATTTCTGCGTTAGACTCTTTGGAATGGGCAACTCCTATTATGTCGCGCGCAGTATCACCGAGATCTGAGCCGCGCAACGCCACGCATACAAAGCCAAGTGACGTATGTGTGCGAAAGGCCGAAAGACCGCGCATGGTGGAAGGATAACATCGTGTGTAATTACAAAACTCGAAAACCACCCCTATTTTCGCATCGGAATACAGTTCAGCAAATAGGCTTGCCAACTATGAAGAAATAAGTGAGATTGCTACAACTGAATTAAATGCATCCTTGTCACATCCATATGCATTTGTCCTTTTCTTTGCTTAAGAATTGGTTTCTACCGTTGAGCAACGTGACTGAATGTGACAACGCGGAGGTACGTTCTTTTTGTATATTTGTTACTGTATATATGGACATATCAAAATATATATAAATATAAAGAAACGTATAAACATGATAATTATAATGCGAAATACATATATCCATACATATTCATCCTTCTCTTCATATCCTTATAATTATTATATCCTTATATATTCATTCTTATAATTATACGTCCTATGATACAGCACCAGATAAAATCTCCTGCAGAAATATTTTTCGGGCGAACTTTCAAAACGCCATTGGATTTAGGATTTTTATGTTTGTCTTCGTAATCCAATAGTTTCTTATACTCATCGTCACAGAAGAAAATTAAAAGACAGTTTGATTCTCATCATATGGTGCTAAAATACGTCTTTTTGTTCTAAGTCAGCTTATTTTCATTAAGTTATCAAATGGCAAACGCGTTATTTGCTAAAAAAAACTGCGATGTCGAACAAATCACATAACTAGTAGTGTCAAGAATATGTATTTTCAGTTCAAATTCGACACTCATTCCAAAATAGCTGTAACTTATGAATTGCGCACTGTTGACAGGAAGGATATTGCTTTTTAATGTCTCTTTTGAACAAGACAAATCACCATTCTAACAAGTAGTTATCTATGTCCGTGAATCGCCGAATTTAATGAAACTTGATACATTTGTGGAGCAGACAAAAATAATAGACACGTATTCTTTTATATCGGTAATATTAAGGTGCAGATTTAAGAGTGGAAACTACCCCTTATAGACACGAATTCTTAATTGATCCTTGTGCTTTAGCTTATTGTATTAAAGCTAACTAAATTTTGGAGATAATAAGAGGTTTTCATATTTTCTGAAAGCAAATTCTGTGTAAAAATTATAGAATTAAAAATAGCAAATTCAATACGGCGGATTCCTGTAGTGAATTTAAACTATCTTATTCCGCTCTTTGTGCCGAATCTAGGAATAACCGACAAGGAGATGGCGAGAATCTATTCCCATTTTGGTTTTTATTTTTTTTTTTTTGTATTTTTTATGTTTTTATAATATTTTTATATTTTTTGAATTTTTTAAATATATATATTTTTTTTAAACAATTGCGCTATTCTCACCTCTATGTTTATTTTTACATTTTTATGCTATATACTTTTTGCAGAAATAATATCCGATGAAAAAATCTTGTATGCGCAAAGATTTTGCACACCAAGCGCATTTTCACTAAGTGAAATTTTATTAATGTTAATATTTTAATTTATGGAAGTATTTAATTGTAATATTTATTTGTCGAAAAAACTTTTATGATTTTTTTAAAGGTATGTTATGATTATTGAAATATTTAGTTCCATATTTTTTTGCAGAATATGGTTCCATGTTATCCTTGTTTTGTTCAGGAAATACCAGAAAGTCTCGTGATGTCGATAGAAACACAGAAATTTCCGGAAAATTATCTGATAACGCTATTAACACTAATCAGCTAAATCCTACTAAATTTTACAAAAGAACTGACTCGCAATGGACTATGAACTATCAGGAAGCTGCAATATTTTTAGAGGTAACTATATATTGATTATGGAAATTTATCTAAAATAATAATAACTTGCAGAATGTAGAGATTACACGTACGTTCGTGCACGTGTTCCGCTTGCAGAAAATTGACTTCTTAATTGATAATCAAGATTAAGATATGATTATTTTTATCATTACCAAAATGATTATTCTTTCAGGAAGGTATAAACAATATAACATTTGATTCTCATCCAAGCTGTCCTAAAGATTTGCCGACGTATCTCTTAGTCCATAACCGTTTGTACAATCTAGTTGAATTCTCTATTTCGTTAGTTTTGTTGTCTCTAGCATTTGTAGAAGAGCCTACCATGTACAAAGTACGTAGTGCACAGATAAACGGCATACTATTTTTTCTTTATTAATACCATTCATGTATATGCTTTATTATAGGTACCAATATGGATACATGGCTGGACAGAATTATCTGCGTTACTTATTGTCGGTTGTCAAATGATTTTAAAGATGAGATCGATTGGCTGTTCAATATCTATGACACACATACGTACAGTAATAAAAGTAAGATATTTTTACTTGAAATGTTTCTATATAAATTAAAAATATTTCAAAAGACAGAATACTCATGCATCATACATAATTTAATAACGTATTTACGAAGACACGTGTTGATAGAGAAAAACAGATTACTCATATAATCAGATTATCCGAATAGTTGCTGGTTCGTACACTTGTGACTGATCATTATTATGCAATGATATATAAGAGCATCAAACAATGTATTTGTTAACAATCAACGACCGCGTTGCTTAGATGATTAATGAGTACTGCAATGAATATATGTAATGACTTATTAGCTTACTTACGTAATCAGTTTTGGAATTAGTGCAATGCCAGACGTGTCGCAACAGTCCTTATGAAATTTAAATGAATGGAGAATGATGTTCGATTTGAAATGATTATATAAAAAATATGCCTATATCGATTATTGAGCTAGGTTATTGACCTCTTTTGATTACTCTTATTGAAAATAATTTCTATTTCAGGGTATCATATTAGTAGTCATGTTTTGTGAAATTACAACAATTCTAGTACGACAATCCTTGCATATTCGTGTAACACGCGCCCTTAGACCAATCTTTTTAATAGACACGAAATATTGCGGCGGCGTACGGAGATTCATAAGGAAAGTATTTCTCACGGTAAATTCTGTCTCGGAAATGATATGCCTTCTGTATTTCTTGATTTTTATATTTGCCTTAACAGGCTATTGTATGTTTAATAAAGAAAACACTTATTTCTCGGAACTGTGGCTAAGCTATCTCAACCTATTTATTCTTCTTACCACTTCTAAGTGAGTAGATACAATCTGACAAGCTAATTAATTTAACAATATAATTTATACCGACAACATAATTTGCAGCTTTCCCGATGTAATGTTGATATCATATTACTACGATAAGAGGTCTGCGATATTCTTTATAGTTTATTTGTGTACCATGTTGTACGTAATAATGAATTTAATGCTGGCGTTGGCAAATGAGACATTTGCGTCTTACGAACGCGATAAATTCAAAAAATTGTTCCTGCACAAAATGAAAGCGTGCAAATATGCTTTCAAACTTTTGGTTTCTAACAAATTTCCTGGTAGAATAGAATTTCCTCAATTTAAAGGATTAATGTTGCACTATGATCCGAGTAAATGTACGTATACAAGATTTTTTCATAAACTTTAGTTCTATTTCTTTGTCAAACACGCATATAACGTGTACTCAAATGTCATGCCGTACAAAACTCCGAAAGTGATATTATCAATTTTATTTCTGCAATAATAATATATGATTTTTATAGCCACGCGTGACATTGTTTTAATGTTTTGTCATATGAATAAATCGAAAAGTGGTTCTTTAAATTACAAGGAATTTTTATCGTTTTACGACGCCAATACACTTAAGTGGTCTTTCCAACACTCTAATGAATATTGGCGAAGAACGTTCATTTTTGTACAACCGCTTTCCAAATTAGCTAATGTTATTATTAAATGGCGTTATTTTGAAGCTTTGGTGTGTAAGTATAATACGTGTAAATATATAATTTACGGGTGATTCAAAATCCCCGCATACATTTGACATCGCAACACACACACATACATTTACAACTCCATCGTCACTGAAATATTATGATTTCATTTACATCTGATGAAGACTCAATTCAGGAGCCGAACATATGTATATGTATACATTTTTATTTTTTTTCGATTATAGTTTTAATTTCATTACATATACATATAAATTTATTGATTCATATAGACGACTCTCGTAATTGTCCTCTATATTTTTCTTATTGTTAGTGTTATTTTTGAATAATAGCCGAGGTACATGCGAGTAAGAAACACGCGCCGGCCCTGTGAGCGCCATGTAGACAAGAATGGCTCTACTGCAAAATCTACTTGTCGGACGTAATTTTGTTAAACGAAAAAGTTGTTTGTTTTAGCAATTATTACTTACAATATCACGTCTTGTATTCCGTATGCGAGAATTTTGAATCACCCTGCATAAGAAAGCCTTTTATTTCATCATTTGTAATTTTATAGATATGATTATTATTGGTGATGGCATCTCCATAGTAATAAGAAGCCTACAAATAGATATAAATTCTGAGGCACCACTGAAAACATTCTGTAGTGGTTGGGATGCTATATTTTTCAGGAACCGTGAGTAAAAAATTTTCTTAAAATAAATATCTTAAAATGTAGAAAAATCCATGATTAAAATATGTAAATAAATTTACAGTTATGATGATTGAAACAATAATAAAAATATTAGCTCTTGGTTTCGATGGTTATATGAGCTCTGGATGGAATATCTTTGATTTTTGTACAATAATAATGTCCGTCATCGCTATGTTCATACTTTATATTACGCCGTCAGCTACATATCTGGTTTTCTTCCGACCTCTCAGAACATTGAGATTATTTAAACTCAAGAAGATATATCGAGATATTTTCGGCACTATCGTAATTCTATTTCCCCAGATGTGTTTAACTGCGGTTGTCATACTGATCCTGTATTACTTTTACGCGATTATTGGAATGGAACTGTTTGCCGGATACGACCTGCGCGATTGTTGCAGGTTAATATCAAATTAATTAAGATAATTATATATCTTTTCTCCTATTTTTTTTGTGTATAAATCTAATATTTTGAAATATGTGCAATAGGAATACAACTATTGAATATTACTACGCATATTCTTATGAACGTTGTGAATCGTCGGCAATTTACTATGTTAACACTTTTAACCATCTCATGGATAGTTGCATTACACTTTTCGAATTAACAGTTCTTAATAATTGGCATGTGCAAATGTATGCATATGGAGCTGTTAATAATCAGTTAGATGACCTGTTAATTTCAATACTCTATTTTTGCACATTTATTATGACGACTATGTTGGTCTTGACTTTTGTGGTATCCAGTTTCTTGGAAGCTTTTCGGTTTAGGATGCAGTATAAAAATTCAATTTGCTGCAAACATGACGGTAATGAAAATATACTTGAGCAATAGAGATCTTTTTCGTCAATTTTATAATTTTTGTTTTTCTTTTTTAGAGAAAAAAATGTTCTGCGACAAAGTGGAATTAATATGGCATGAATTACAATTCATAATCGATCATAAAACTGTGAAACAGCTACACAGATCTTTATTTATCAATGAAGACTGCTACTCTACTTCCTTCATCGGTTCACTGCCACGAACACGAGAGGTTTTACAGAAAAAGATGTATAGGGAAGAAATAAATAAATGGATAGCCGAGTCCGAATCAGAGTTCGAAGAAAAGTAATTTTTATTTAATATATGATACATAATACGAAAGATAGAACCGGCGATGGTATCTCTAATACCGATCATCTTGTACTGAATGGTAATTTGTGTCATTGGCAAAACGCTAATCTACTTGGTAAAATTGATGACGTGACTTAGACCAAAATTCTCGCTTACATTCATGTAAGTATATTTATCAATAATATAGCTTGTTTATATAGTTAGGACTCCGCGTTGATGGTGACGACACCAAATTAGTCGCGGCGGCCTAGCAAAACTGGTAGGCGCGCGCGAACACACACACACAAACACACACATATACACACTTTACATTTATCCAAATTGTTTTTAATGAAAAATGGGACAAAAATAAATGTGTCATTCTCGCTTTATGACATCACGATTCCAACATGGCCGCCGCGACTACTCAGGAGCTTAAGGATGCTAGAGTGACTTAATTGGGGGGACATTGCAGATTAAAATAAATCTCTGAACTTATTGAACAGAATCAAAAATTCCTTTACAGGATTGAAGTAGACGCAAAATTGAAGAGTAATGCAATTAATTTTTGTACTAAAATCGGAAAAAAGTTAAAAACTTACATTTTTTCAACCTCGTAGAGTTGTTATCTGACACCATAGAGATAGTAGTACTAGAGAGTACGCATTGGAGGAGTGGAGTAGTAGTCCACATTTAGAAAAGGACGCACTCATTCAGACTTTTCGCCTCTCTTTCGTTTCGCACATGCGTAGCCATATATTTTATTGAGAAAGGGGATCAAAAGAGGGATCAATAAGGAATTGAGAACATGATGATGTAAGGGCGACTTTTATACCAACTCTGGTTAACTTAATCATTCCAGTAACTTTGCAGGATTGATCAATCGCATTTATCATTTAGTTTTGACGACGGACGCGATTGATCAATTCCAATGGACTAATCGGCCGATTAAATTAATCGCGGAGTTGGTGAAAGTGGCCCTAAATTGTAACAGTTAAACAGTATTGAAAGATCGCTCGATCGAGGTTGATATGTGCCGACTTCGGTGTTGTCGTCGTCCGTTATACTCAATTGTACTTTCTAAATTATATGAAACTTTCCTCGTTTTTTTTCCATCCCCTGTTAGAATATACGTCTATCGCATGCGCAAAACGAGAGATACAGGAGAAGTCCGAATGAGTGCGTCCTTTTTTATATGCGGACTACTCCACTCCTCAAATTTCCGACAATGTCTCTAAATGTCTATAGTACTACTATCTCTATGCTTGGCGTAAATGTTTCCTTGGTACCTAGATATTGTATCACCTAGCGTATCACATGCACAAATAATACTAACAATGAGTCTACAAAACTGAGATTGAAAGCTTAAAAAAAAAAGATTTATTTTAATCTGTAAATTACGTATATTTGCTTGGTCAACGAAAACTCAAGCCGATAAACAAATCAGAAATTACATGAACGATAGTTGTTCGATTTTATGAGAGATGGTGTTGCAATATGTTAAATAATAAAGTCATTAGATTTATAAAGTATCACAATTGATTTTAGGGTATCGATTATAAAACTTTTTCCCTAGGATGGAAAGTGAAAGTGGAAATAGCTGTTACATTACAATTTTGAAAAAAAAATTATATGAAAGTGAGTTATGTTTTTGGTTCCTATGTTGCAATTTATCTTAAAATTGTGATGTAATAGCCAATTTTTGCTAATAGATTTATGTTTAGCGGGCAAAAGTACATTAGAAATGATTATTAATATAAATTAATAAAAAATAAAAGAAAAGAACCAAATAGTTTTTTAAAAAAATAATAAATATAATTAATTCAAAAAACTCGTTAATTTTATTATAATTATACACATTTAATTTTATAATTGTGACTCGTCAATTCTATTATACACACTTAATTTTAAATTTAACATTGAAAATGACCCGATCGTTGTCGAAACGTATGCGAATTTTACTTGCGAATTTTACTCTGTTTGATTTTAATGTATTGCGATTTTTTTGAATTAATTATATTTATTATTTTTTTAAAAAACTATTTGGCTCTTTTCTCTTATTTTTTATTAATTTATTTTATACTTACTTTTTTAATTTTGCCGGCTATCTAAAATTGTTAGATTGCTTGTCAATTTAACTAAAGTGATATTACCGCGGTAGTCGTTTAGGGTTGCGTTGTAAGTCTGAAAAAAATGTTCGGCACGCGATTGAGTGAACTACATACGCAGTATATAAATTCACACATTATAATAAGCATTGTGATCTAGCTTTGACCGTTAATGGCTTTGCTTCGTTGCTTCCTTTCTTCTTATTATTGTTTATCAATTGTACGGTCGTAAAAGAATATTTTATTGTTATTTTTCTATTGTTATTTTTATTGTTATTTTTAATGTGATAATACATGTATTTACTTAACAAATGCATGCTTTATTATTTCTGTATATATACAGAATATTATATATAAAATTGTACTTTCCTGTTTTTTCACAAAGAACGTCATTATATAATCGTTATTCGAATTATTCATATTTAGTTACTAACGTACGTAAATCATTTATTTCATTAATGTTCAATTCTCACTCCACTGCCACCTAGACTGGTCATCGTGACATCAAAACCCTTTTTCTCTAATTGTTTTGAAAAAGAATCAATGGATTCGCTTTTAATGTCTGACGGCAACAAAATGTACGCATATCCACCTCCACCAGCACCCGTCAGCTTCGCTGCATATAAATTCGACCATGCCACTGCACAAATTATTTCCAATTTTGGATGTGACACATCTAATGCGGTTAGTAATCCTTGATTCATATGGATAAGAACCTGCAAAGCGTAAAATAAGAGATAGCTACAGTTTCCAGCAGATTATATATGTGAGTTTTAAAAATGTTATAAAAACGTATATATGTATAACAAAATAATATATTAATGTTTATAAACACACATGACATTTACCGATAACTTTTTAAACCAATCTTGTTTCATAGATTCTGTAGATTTATCGGCATTATTGCTCATTTCTTTAAGTATTTCCCAAGCATTTTGCGATAGAGCATCGATACTATCCAAGACAGGAGTGATGATTTCAGGATATAAATTCTTCAAATGCGCTGCTCGTTTAACTTGATCTTTTGTGCTCCGAATAATATTTGAATTGATCAGTAAAATCTTCAGATTCGACATACATGATAACATATCCACTAGTTTTTTCTGTTGAAATTTTATTACCGAACCATATGTGCATACGCTATTGTCGATTCCGGATGGAGACTCATGCATAATTTGCTCGCAGTTTAGAGCGTATTTCGAAATCTTATCAAGCTCATCCTTGTTAAATGCAGAGTGATCGCCCTTCTGTAGAAGCAACCAATGTAGAAAACATGCTGCCAAAGATACTGCGAACGATGCCGAACTGCCCAGACCACTGCCAACTTTTAATTCCGTAGACAAATGCACGTGGAAGGAAGTTTCTTTTATATCGATATGTTCTTCATAAGCGATATAAACGAGCAAATAAAAGAACGCTCGTAAACTTAATTTTTGTTCTTCAATCATTTCATTATTGCTTTTGTCTATTAGATTCTCTATTGAATTGAGAAAATCATTCACACATTTATGCAATTCATCATTGTTCTTGATCATCAAATAATCGAAATTATCGTTAAAGAAGTAGTTTTGAAATACACAAAAAGGAAGATTAAAAAATAATTTGATATCAGGGAACTCTATCTTAATGATGTTCTTTAAATCTTGTGATTTATTCAGTTCAGTGAATTTAACATTAGTACGTAAGTTTAAACTGGTCGCTATAGCAGTTTTTCCATACACCACGGCGTGTTCTCCGAATAAAATTATCTTGCCCGGTGCAGATACTTTGAACTCAATCATCTCTCTTTCTTATGATTAAAAATTTTTTTATCCGAAAAAATGATATAATGGTAGAATGTATTAGATCTGTGTTGTAACAGATTTCTGTTAGAAGTATTTATGTAACGGATAGTCTAGGAAAAATTATCCATATAAAAATTTGATCTTTTGTTGTGTAAATTAAAATAAGAAATACTGGCTTTTCATCAAATTGTTATTAATTTTCTATTCGTAAAAGGCGATTTAACAAGATTCGACAGTCAGCTTTTCGTTTTTTCCCATTGTTCTGGCGTTAATGTTGTTAGCGAAATGGCGTGAATTGTCTTCAGTTCTTCTTCTAAAACTCCATAGACAAGCCTGAGCGTACAAATTTTTAATTACTAAAGCTTTGTATCGTGAATTTTATTAATAGTGATAACTAAGAAGACGTTAAAATTGATGCAAAATCTCAGAATGATGTTAATATTACCTGTGGCGTACCAGTAACGGCTTCCCTTGGAACAAGTCAGAAACGACAAATACTGAAAATTTCGCACCGCAACCGTCGGATTGATCCACTACTTCCTGTAACACACAATGTGTACACTGCAGGCAATATCTTTCTAAAGTCACCAATAGCAATTTAACGAACACAAATAATTTTTTTTCCGAGCATTAATATTCAGTAGACGTTAAATGTCAAACATAATCAAAATACATGTCTGTAATCTAAATGTAAACATATATTTGATAGCGATATACAACATTAGATTTAGTGACTTATTAATAAATGGCGTTTACATTAGATGACATAACTCGAATGTTTCATTTACTTATTAAGTTAAGACCAAGATATACAGTAGAGAGTGTCGATATTTATTATGAAGACACGTCGCACAAACATTGACGTTAATGCAAATTAAGGTAAGGCTGAAATCTTAGAGCAAAGTTCGAGGCTGAGTGTAGATATGTATCTTGTTTTCTAGATATTGATACGTAACCTGTATACCAAAAATTTATTTTCTAATAATACTGTAAAATGTCTTACTAACGATTAAAAAAAAAGTAATATATTATTTTACATATTAAATTCTTGATTCATTTGCTTCTTGATAGATTTATCCAACGATATTTTAGAAATTACGTCACAATTGTATACATTATATATACATATCTCAAAAATATTTTCCGTTTTTATATAAATGTAATGTAATCAAGCATTATCTTGTATATTTAATGTTAACAGAAGCATATCTATAATTGTGATTGTATGGAATAAACAATTAAAGTTAAATATTTAGCATTGAAAATTATTCACACACTCAGACAATTGTTAAGTATGATTACGCAGCACGTTTACGTATATATTAATCATTCAGTTTTCATAATTCAACATATTGATTAATTATTTGTAGATATGACAAAAACTAACAATCATATATTAAAATGAAATTTAAATTTTTAATTTGCTTTTACACATGTTGATAACTGCTAATAAAAAAATTTAAGACTGTTCTACGTGCTGATTCGTACAATTGTAGACAAAAGAAGTTTGTTCTTTTTAGTTGAACTTCTTGTGTGCACAGTTGATTTTTTCCATTTTTTCTCCAACGTGAAAAGTAAGAGGAAAAATGACCTCTTTTTCTTCAACGTTGAATAACTCCGTGAAAAAAAATCGTACAGTGATCGAAAAAAAGCAAATTAAAGGTAAAGATTCTGATTCGTATTCAGAACGCGTTTTTATTGATAAAAGCGCACTTTTATCTCTTGCTAAAGCTGTAAACAGCACTTGTGCATAATTTTTAATTCGCGCCGTGGAACTTCGCAAATTTCAAGAAATAATATAAGTTTTTAATTTTGTTCGTAAGAAATGTTTTGAGATCTGATGCATCTTCATTTATATTAGTGTAATTTTATGAAATATCAGTAATATCGCTTTTTAAAGTATTGGTCTGAAAAGTAAAGATTTCAAGCTTTAAAATGCTTTTTTAAAAATCTCGACACGATGATTTTTTACGAAGTTATTCTATCTCAAAATTTGTTTATTTTTGCAGGGTGATGCTTTAATTTTGTTGAGTAGTATATTATTATGCCGTTAATTTGATCGTAATAAATATGTCAAGGTTATAATAAATAATTCATACAGAGTTAACGATTCTTCTTTATTAAACTTTTTCTCAAAACACGATCTATATGATAACGATATGAAATAAATACGAGAAGAGTGTAGCGAGAGAATCAATTGATGTCGCGAAAAAGGGATAACAATAACAATCGATTCAATTTTAAATATTTAGAGTTATTTATTCATTATTTACAATTGTAACAATTTGTACATTTTGTTTTCAATAGCTGCATCATTTAATGTGACTTGACTTTATTTGCAGCATTCTCTTTTCTAAATACAAATAGTTGGATGTAATTGAAATAGACAAAAAAAATTAGAAAATGTCCGCATGAATATACCGATACTAAAAACGGAAATAGATCCGGATATCTTTCAGGAGGTTTTACAAATTGGCTGATAATAGAAAGAAGTGACACACCTGAAATAGATCCATAGAACGCGAGGAAGATCCAAGACTTTTTAATATAATTTAACAAATCTGAGAGAAGTTTACTTTTCTTATATTGTTTTATTTTATCTTTCGATTTTAACTTATCTTTATTCAACGAACCGTTTGTTCTACTATTATAAAATAGATCAGGCCATATCCAAAAAACAGAACAAAAATAAAAAATTATTGTGCCAATGTAAGCAAGGTACAGATTATCCTTTATAAATAACGGTAGCATACTAAAATGCGAGATGATCAAGAACCAGAAGCAAGGGAGAGGATCATTGTGAAAGTACAGTAAAACTGGAATAGCAACCAAGAGAATGGACTTTTCATGAACTTGAAATGAAAAAAGGAAGAATGCCAGAGCAGAGTTTATTAGAGACAGTATAAATGCATTCCTTGTAGGTGATAAATATAAACTGATGCAACTGGGTAGAACCGCGCACGTTGTCATTAATAAGCAGATCTTGGCTAATTGCTCGTTCGTGAAAATTTGTCGCAATTTGTAGACAACATTGATTGCGCACCAAATATTAGCGACTTTATCTTCAAACACACCTCTGGAAAAAGGAAACAATCTGAGCACCGTGCTGACAAATAAATCTCTACTTTTTAGAAACGGCATCCAGATAACATAGACCGTCAGCAGTACTGTGAAGGATACATATATCAGCATGCGAATACAGTGAGACCAGGATTTCGTCTTGTTAGGAGTGTGACGTCCAAGTATGTAGAAGAAAAATGGTAAAGCATGATATAGTTCCATTTGCTTATAATTCAGTGCTAGGACAAATAGACTTGAGCCAATGACAAATGAATCTTGTAGCGTAACAGCTACAGCGGCGATAAAGAAACCCAGTGACACACAATTATATTGAAAATGACCATGATCTATTAGTATCAATCCAGGATAGATCAATGTTGTCAAAACAGCAATATCTCTCCCTGTAAACTTAAATATATTAGACTCGCCAAACTGATAATTGTTCCAAGAACGTGAATTGGTTATAAAATATATGACAGCAGGTAAGTAAATAAAAATGTCTGCAATTAAGACAGTCAGTCTCATGAAGTGCTTGTGTGTTGCGCTCTCGAATCCTCTGGATTCTCGCAGCTTCACAAAGGAAGGATCTATCCTGTTTGCAATATGGCCTAACAGGAGACTGTGGTATGCCGTTAAAGGTGGATAATCTAAACCCCAGTAATATAGATCATTGTCTGTAGTATTAATATACCACTTGTCAAGAGGCAGATTCAATGTGATTTCTTGCCAGTGTCGTTGGGCCTCGTAATCTCCATACATAGGGGGTTTGCCTTCTCCGCTGTGAGAATGGTAAGTAATGCAGCATCTCAACAGAATGGCAAAGGAAGTGATGAAAGCGAGCTGCAGCTTTCCCTGCATTCTCCGTCATACGAGTATCCTCGTTTCGTGTCGCTCCAAAAAGCTATCTTCGAATTGAAACTATTCGGCAAAAATTTTGAGAGGAGGTTCCTAGCAAAATGCCATGTCATCATGCGCTTTAATTTCGTAAGTAATGAAAAAAAAAAAGAGTAACGAAAAGACAAAAGATCTACATACCACGTGTATAGCTTTCAATCCCTTGGTCACTTTGTCTTTAATATATTCCTCGCTATGTGGCATATTCAGCCGTGGTGTTTCTTTGATAGCAAGCACCTGTTGTTAAAAAATATCCGGGTACTATCGAATGCAGGTACCTGTCGGCACAAAGTGTCCTATCCGCGTCTATCCCGGTCTATCCTATATTCCTATATTCCACGAAATGACGGGATCCACATCCACACGTCTACAAAAATCACCTGCGTTCGATAATAATTCCGGTATCGATCATAGAGAGCGGTTTATTTCGGTATCGATTGTCGATACATTCTTGAGCGCCATCTGCATACATATGCCTTCTTCAATCTCTATTTGATAAAGAGAATTGTGTTGATAACTTCTGCAGATTTTTCGGTTCGTGTCCTAGCTATTCCATCACAAAAATTCTTTCTAATGAAATATTTAAAATTTAATACTAATACTTAATAAATATCTATATTTACAATGCAATAATATATTTTATTTGAATAATTCAATTATATCATTAATTAATTTATTTTATTTTATTTGAAATTGCATTTTTTTACAATTATTATTCGTATAAATAAGTAATCACGGATAACAATAATAAAAGTGTAGTTTCAAATAAAAATTAAACATTAATCGACTCGCAAATACATATATGTTTAAGAAACGTCATAATATTTTCTCATTTTGTATTATTATACGAAAGAATTTTTGCAATTATTTCAATGAAACGTCCCTCTTGATGGAAATAATTCCGTATAGAGTTCTAGATATTAATGATACTTGTTAATATTTAAAACTTAAAACTCTAATAATTCCGAGTAGGTTGACGCCACTGTGCGCAGCGCGTCTCCGCGCAGAAATTTGCGGTAAAGGGGGAAAGATAGCCAATCCGTGGCGCAGCCGGGAGCGCACACCTCCGTCGACGAGCCAATCAGCGTCGCGCGAGCGCGGCGGCGACGGCGGCGCGTTAGTCAGGGGGAACGAGGCGCGTCGACGAAATTCCGATCGACGCGGGCGCGTTATATTTAAGCCGTCTGCGGAACCGGTGGCCACGGTCGCGTACGTAGTCGGAACGTGGTGTTCCCCGGCGAACGAAAATCAATATTCCCGTCGCATCGCGAGGCAGAGAACACGCAGCGGCCGGTCGCCATTTGCCGTGGCTATTATACTCGCGCGCGCTCTCCCGACGCCGTGGAGCTCGCTCTCACGTCGACGGTGTGCCACGACGGGGCCGCTGCCGCCGTCATCCGGTCATCACCGGTCAGTCGCGCCGCGCCGCGCCGCGTCGCTCCGCTCCGCTCTGCGATTTTTCTGCCGGACACGCGCGCACGTCATCGAGTGTATCGCGAGAAGGAACGAAGCCAACATCATTAACGTTAATAGCAGCGGTGGCAACGGCAGGATCCTAATTTCCTGCATACCGTAGGAACCGACAATTTCGCCTGGGTACCTCCCGTCCGACGTCTCGTCCCGGAACTCGATTTACTCCCAACATCGTCGTCTCTACGAGACGACCATCCACACGCGATCGTCACGATTTGTGTCCTTCGCCCTTCCTCCTCCCTGTATCATCTCTTTCTCTCCCCCGTCCCTTAACGCTCCCGTTCGTCAGTTTGAAGGGGAACCAAGCCAGCCTCGGTGAGAATTGAGGTATCCCGTTTCGGTGACGCGGAAGCCGCGTCGCCAACGGTCTCTCTCGCTCGCCAATAATTCACTCATTTCTCCCTTCCCTCTCATCCTCCCTTTCGCGTGCACTTTCCTTCGTTGCCGCGCGCCGAAGACGATGGCGTTTCTGAGGAGCGTGCCGCGGCGATGTTGCGCCGGCAAAAAGCTGGTCAAGTGCGGCGCTTCGCCGTTGGCTGTGGTCGGTCTCCTGGAGAATGTCACTGCGGCGACGGCGACGACGACGGCGGCGGCGGCGACGGCAACGGCGGCAGCGGTTACTAGGACACCACCGTCATTGCGGTTGGTTGCACAGGTGCGTGGTTATGCCACCTCCTCCTCCTCCTCCGCCGCTACCACTGACGTCAAGCAGCAACGACAGCAGCAACAATCGGCGGTGCCTCGGCAAATCGACCCGCTCGATTTGAAGTTTAACGACCCGATCGCCTCTTTTAAAAGCAAGACAACTATGGAGTTGATGCGCGCCTATGTCGTCTACCAGATGTGCAGCGTCGAATACCTCGTGGAGAACAACATGAAGGTGAGAGAGGATCAATCACTTGCTTAGCTTGTATACGTTTAGATTTTAGATTTAAAACTATTAACTTAATTATGCTGTAAGCTATAAGAAATTGATTATTCACGGTTGAATGTGAGGAGAATGAGGAGAATCATCGACTTTATTTTCCTCATATTTGACTGTGATTGATCAATTTTTTTATAACTTGCAACATAAGTAGGTACTATAAGTTAACAGTTTACAATCGCAGTATAACTGATCCTTTAAGCTTATAGTTAACCCTTCCCTTTTTTCTTTTCTCTTGTCTACATACATAGAAGTACATGTTTTAAGTAGTAATTATTACTTTTGTATATTATATGTATCTTTCTGTATCAAAAGTATCATATGAATTTTAAAAGTTCATATATCCGTAAATCTATAAACTTCTACAAGCATCATATTTTTTTAAGTATTTTGAATCCTAAAATAAGTTTAATATTTTAATCGAGATTATTAAATTATATAAACAAATTCGATTTGCTTACTATATAAAGTTGCTTCTTTAATCTATTTTATAATATTCTTTAAAGAAAATAAATTCTTGTGGTAAGTATAAATTAAATTTGTAATGTATTTTAAGATTGTTATCAAGAAAATATTCTTTCTTAAAATATTACTTACAAAGAAGAAAGTAAATTGAGTAATCACTTTTCTTAGCAACAGAATGATATTTTTCTGTGTGTATAATAAGTGTAGTAAGCTTTTAGTTTTTTGCTCCAAACTATAACGATTTTTTTCTGACGAAAAGCTTTTAAACTTTACCGTTAGTTGGATTTTAACAGTAAAATTTAGTGCTTAGAGCAGATTAACGCCGCAACTCAGAATGAAAAACTAAAGTATACTACACGTATTGTATAGAGATTGGAAGTTACGCTCGTTTCTATTAATATAGTAGATTAACTTAACTTCAATCTCGGTTTAAGTTACTTTTTATCTTCAGTTTTATAATAAGTATAAGAAAAAATAAAAAATAATGAAACCAAGATTAAAATTAATTTACAATGTTTGAAATGGTTATCAGATCTTTTAGCCCAGCTCCAATTGTTAGTAATTTTTTTCAGTAATTTTAGTAATTTTTTATATTACGGTTCTTTGTTAATACGGATAAAATCGTTGATCTTTCGTCATTTGTGGTAAAGAAAAATTCGATCAGGTACAAAATTTTGTAAGTGAGCTATTCCAATGATTAAATTAATCACTGATTAGCAAGTCATAATTTATTGAATATTTATGAAACATATTCTTTCTACTGAACAAAAAGAATTAAACTGGATACTAGAATTGGTGCTATTTTAGCTCCGCCAATCATTTTAATTTTATTTATTTTTTTTTATTAAACATACAGTACAGAGTATTCAAAATATGTGGCTATGTATACAAATAAGCCTATATTGATACAAATAACATCGAAATAAATTTTTATTAACCGAATACAAAAATAAGAAGTAATCACTTTGACACCTTCGCCTTCGCGACAATTCAAATTCATCGGGATGCTGTCGTCGCCAGTTTTAGTGTTAAAAATGTACCACAATACGACATAAGTTGTTTTTCATTTCTATGAAAAGAAACGACAATGTAACTTTTTAGTTGTATACTATCTTTTTTTCCCCTTTTCTTTCTTAATCTAAAAATTTAAGAGAGCCAGAGCTTTCTAACAAACTTATCGAAGAGCTTGCTTTTGCTTTTTAAAAGCTTTCGAGGTCGCTGAATTCGAGTCTAGTCTTAGAATTCTAAAATTCAAATTTTTTTAAATTATCTGATTATCATGAATTACTTTTAAGAGATTTTTTTTGTAATCTCTGAATTTAAATGTAATATGAAACTATCGATTTAAAAAGAATAGTCACTTCCATAAAGAAGGATCTAATATTAGAATTCATAATTAAAAGTCAATTTGGAAACCAGTACTAACTATTTACGTAGCACTGATGAATTCCAAATAAAGCGGAACTAAAAACTTGATGTAATACTTCACAATTAAGAACTCTCTAATTTTTTAAGAATTTTTAAATAATTATATAATTTATTATAAAGTATATATTTAAAAAAAATTCTGTTCGCCATATTCAATCCATCATTTTGGATTTTTTATTTTTTACCTTAGATCGAAAGCATTATCAAATTATCTCACGTTTCACAAAAATTAATTTAATTCTTTGTGAATCGATAATTCTGTTTGGAATATCCTTTTTTCTTTTATAAAATAGGATACCCTAAACGGGGTTGTCGATTCACAAAGAATTAAAAAATATTTCATCTTATTTCTTGTTGTAAGTATAGATATCTTATTTGTTTTCTCTCATAGATTAAACTAGAATACGAATTTAATTAACCGTTAATCTTTTGAAGTTATTTTTAAATTTTCATACATAAAGCGATAAGCGATGTGGAATTCCCGGATGACACTCGATTTAGAAATAGCCAAAATCTTTTTTGCGATCAATCTAATTAAACGTAGTAAGCTTTCATAAGTGGAGATTAACGCATTAACGGTACACATCTGTCGCAGGTGTGTATCTATTATATACATATCCAACCGAGTACAAATTTCATTTATCATAATCTTGAACCAGTGACCAATTAATCTTTCTGACTTCCAAGTATCGTAATAGATACATGTCGTGCACAGCTTGCAGAAAAATCGTGCGAAATAACGATAATTTCACCTTATAATCAATTATCATGTCGTTCACTAATATGACAGGACGCGCTAATTATTCAAGCGTTTAACAATGAGCGGCGCAAATCCCGTGCATATGTGACGTTATTGTGACGTAATCGTCGTGAGGTAAACAGCCGGTTACGACGGTATAAGTTAGTACTAACCTTGGTTAATGTCACTGTATTGATAAAAATCATGTTTTAAACATGTTTTAAATCGTTTAAAACATATTTAAAGTATTAAAAGTGTGTTCAAAAAAAACGGAATGTTTCGTTCTTAAAAAAAAAAAAAAAGAAACATTATCCTTTTGCCAATTCTGGTTAGCGTATCTTCATCTGATCTGTATTGGATTTTCATTTGGTGACTCAAGTCGACACAAGCATCATTCTATCTTGACATTTATGTTCGTTTCATCTAATGTAGATTAACTTTAATCTTAGTCTTTAATTTATTCTTTACGTCATCTTTTTCTAATTTTTGTAATTAGAAAAGGAAGAATTAGTTAAACTAAGATTAAAATCAAATCTATGTAAAACACTCTTCTCTCTCGTATGAATTTCAATAAATTTCATAATCTAATGAATTTACATCATTATGGATCTATCAATCTTTAGTGGGTTGATGACATATTGGACGAAGAGAATGTTTCTACAATAAGCTTGTAAACATTTATATCGCTGAAGAAAACTCCAAATCGAGTCGAAACGTATAATTTTGAAGTATTGGAAAAACTTCTTACATATTAATTAGTAAGATTATTTGCGCTTTAATTACCGCGTTCTTGTTTGCACACTCTTGTTTGCCCAATCATTTGTGTCATTAAAGTTCGATCTCGAAATTCGGTGAGAAGTTAGCATCCCATTTTTTGAAAATTGTTTAAAAATGGTTATTTAGCGGAACCCTTGTTCTTATATATATATATAGAACTCTTCGGCCGGTATTCATAGTCAGTTCTTATTTCAAGACTGTCTTAAGTAATGTCTTAAGATGCTAAAGCTGCCCTCTGATTGGTTCGTAACTCTTCAAGACTGAACTTAAGACGGTCTTGAATATAAGAACTGACTATGAATACCGGCCTTCGTCTCGTCAAGAGGAACCGGGAACTCAACTCAGAACTACTGAATTTCAAAGTTGGGGTGCTAACTTCACACACGCATTAAAGTTAAACTACATTGATAGGCACGGGCAAATTAGTGAGTAATAAAACATTAGAATGACACCTTTGTTGACTTGTGTCGCCAAATGGAGAGCACGTATTGCGAATTCTTTCTGGAAGGACGGTGCTTTAGTCTGGTCCCGTCATCTGAAAAGCAGGTCAGAGGTTGACACTCCGAGGTCGATATCGAATCAGAGACTCTGATATACCGGAACGGGCGCAACAATTCCCACGGGAATCGCTCGCAACGGTCGCCCGCGACGGATCTCTGGATCACGGTTCGCTCTCTTGTGCAATAGGTCGTTCCAAGCTTCCCAGAAGAAAACGTTCAAATACCAATTACCATCTTTCTAATTACTTACGTTGCTCAATTCTGCCTTGCCAGCCGATCGATAAATCGTTCAATCGCGATCAACTAATCGCGATAACCGTGATCTTGAACGTAATTGCAGATGACGCCGCGGGGAATCCTTGTAGAGAGAAAAAGAAAAAATATTCATCTTATAATCCTTCGCTCGTAGATCTTCTTTCGTTTTCTTTGCCGGAACTTACGTAACGTTTACGTGATTTTCTGTTAGGCCCCAATGTGGCACGACGTTATTGATTTCACTATTACCGGACACATCGGATCGACCTAGGAATTTTGCTGCAAACCATCGCCGCTGTCGGCACCGGGCAATTACATAACCGCCGCGTCTAAGGATAGACGTGTAGTACGCTCTGGCACGCGGAATTCAATCGCGATTTCCTTTAATCTGTTCAAAGAATCACCGACTCCGTTGATTTTTGCATCATTATGATAATACGACAATTTCTACGCATGTATGCGCTGATAATTAACGATTTTGCTGAATTTGAACTATTGACTAATTTTGGTTTGTGATTGGTGCAATTATAATTGTCGTATTATTACAAAACACTTATTGGTATTCTCGTAGACTTACTATAATTGAGTAAAATTACGTGTTTATCATTGAAATGGAAAACATCTTTTGTCTCTTATTCGTAAGATTATGTTGCATGAAAAATATTGACTTATTCACTCTTTATGAAGTAAAAATCGACACTGTTTGAAATGCACACGAGCATCCTGACAAATATCGCCCCGACGTTTATCTTAATTAGGGTTTGTAAATTATTAGTAATTATACATAATAT